GTTTTATTCAATAAGATAAAAATGATCTGACGTCACTTATTTTCTCGCTACAAAATCAGCACAACATTGCCACTTAAGTAAATGTTGCCTTAAGAGAGTGAGTCTGCTATCAGTCTGTGACAGTTAGCTCCAGCCACACATCAGCTTACATCTTAATTTCTTTGTTTTTTTTCCAAATCCAGAGTACATCACTTGTAAAAATTGTATTTATTTTTATTTTTTGTCGTATATCACACATAAAATTAAAGACCATATCTGTTCCAGGTATTATTTTTCTACTACAAATAAACAATCTCCAGCAATTTAATCTTCAGGATTGAGCACAAAGCAGCGAGAAGCAGTCTCACAAACAATAAATGAAAAAGCACATGAGTACAATACCTGGACCCTCAGCTGATATCGACAGAGTCTGCAGCGAGAGCAGCAGCAGGACATGGACACTGCAACGACCCATGTTTCAGTGCACTAAGAGTGGGGAGAAGATGCAAGATGAGCCTGAGAGTTCAGAGGAGTACACTCATAATTACATTTAGCCTCTTTATGTTATCTGACGAGCCTCATAAGGCTCCATACAGAAATGAAACAACAAATTATAAAGGCTGAATGAGTTCAGTTTGTCTTAGAAAGCACTACTTAGTAAACATTAGTGCAATGGATTAAACAGAAGCCTTTTTAAAAAGACAGTCACCATGAATTACTTCCAAATGTATAAATGTCTTCACCTGAACATAATATAATCGTGTGGTTCGTTCTTAAGTGGTTGACTAATAGACTAATTGCTGTATATATAAGACTTGATGTACTATAACTGTTCCTCCGCAGGCTAGCATGCACAAACATACACTAAAGTCAGCCTCTGGTTTTGACCTAACATTCAGAAACAACCAAAGCTATCAGCAAATCCTTCTTTAAAAGGAAAAAAAAGATAGGGGACCTAGTTGTTTGCTGTGGCCATTAACAGGCGACCTCATTGGCCGCTCACAGGCGCCCCGGAGGCGCCAGGATGCCTGGTGCTGCTGCCCTGTAAACTAAGCTAAGCTAAGCTAAGCTAAGCTAAATTAAGCTAGCCACACAGCACAAAGCGCAGACTGACAGCCGAACGAGGACAACCAAAACAGAGCATTAAAACAACACCCACCTACCTGGCGCACACGCAGCGCAGTTTCTAACTCATGCTGTTAAGCCTGCACATTCGCACACGAGTATTAAATAATCGTATCGGCGTGATTTTCGATGTAAAACCGCTAAAAGAAGGGACCACAGCCCAGCCCACCCACTGGCTGTTTTCGCTTCCAGCTACACTTGACGTCACCAAAACATTAACATCAAGTTGCATTGTGGGGCAGAGAAGTCCGCCAACTTAAAATCAGTGTAACGCCAGTGATATTAATGTGTATTTGAAGTGTTAATAACTTCAGCCATTATGATATGATAATTAAATGAGAAGAGACTATTGTGTGTTAACCTCTGTGGTCAGTAAATGCTGCTCAATGGGTCCTATGCTGCAATCATTACACGTCTGTGTAAGCACTTATTGAATTTAAGTGCATTTTTTTTAGCATTATGCTGGTTTCTAATAGTGAAAGATTCGCTTTTTACTTCACAACATACCCTTGTTAATTCTCAGATCAATGTTTAAAATATTATATATGTATTGTTATAGATTAAATGACACAAAGATGCATTGAGCTATTAAAATTTGCCCCACGGTGACCAGCTACAGTATTAAACCTGCTTAAATCCTCTTACATTGATAAAAAAAAAAAAATCCAGCAGTGATAATTTTACACTGAAAGAGTGTGCATTGTATTAAATCACTTATTTACGTAAGCTGAATTTCAATAAATACATTTTTAAAAGGTCACATATACATCCATATCAAATCTGGATCAAATCTGGATACCAGACAGCTGATCCTGAACACATCTAAAACTATTTTTGGTTTTATAAAGAAGGCATTTCAACATCTCTTTCTCTATCGACGGGCTACAGAGAGGCTACATGTGCCTATACAAGTCTTCATCATGGGACTTAAACACTGTTTCACATTGTTAGTAAAGTGCACCTGGGGCTCTATTTCCTCCAACCAAGGAAATACAGGGTTAGTTGGGAAAGTATAATTCATTTGTATAGAACTGTTATGGATTTATTTCTCCATCCTGACTTGGTATAGTAACACAACCAATCAGGGCAAACAATTGCTTGAAAAAGTAGTAAGTAGAGCCTCCAAGGTCATTGGTTGAGGTCTATCTTCCATAGCTTCACACTATCGCACCAGAATCACCAGGATCATCACTGGCCCCTCAAACCCTGCACATTACCTATTCAATCTTCTCACATCAGGAAAAAGATACATGAGCAGAGCATCACGTATTAGGGATAGCACCAACCTCTAAACTATTGAAATAAGCACTGAACCTCCTGTTACCTATATCAGATTGTAATAAAAAAAAAAAATCTAAAACCATCAAAACCTATATTTATGTATCATGTCATCATATTCAAGTTAAAGACACTGGCAAATATCTGTTTTTGTCTCACTTGAGTAGACTAAATTTAGACTTAGTAGAGGACTAGTGTCAGAGCACAGGCTTTCCAAATACAAACTATGACTCACAGCAACAACCCAGAGGAGAAGTTATGAACTCACCTTTAATTTTAGCTCAAAAAAACTTACAGTTCGCTTATACTTTGGTCTGTGTGGGGGAGACTTTCTTGCTATTATTACAGCTGCACAGACATTTAGAAACAAGACTAAAAATAACCAGTGACTTCCATTAGGAGCAGTATTCAGACATGATGCAATCTTTGTTTCCCAGTTAAGAAATTTGTGTAAAAACTGCTGATTATTTTATTTGATAAAAGTTGGTGAACATCACATTACAACTAAAGACACTGTTATTTTCTGGGAAAAAGTTGGCAATGACTACATTTAGATGAGTTTGATTCTCTTTAATTATGAACCAGTTATCAAATGATTTGCTGCCTAATTATTCAGAGTGATACACTACAATAACATATTGCTGTAACACACTTTTTATGCATGTCAGGGTTTTTGTTTCTGTACCTCTTTAAAACTAATGAAGAAATGCTTCTTAATTAAGATTCAGTAGTGATCCATCCAGGTGGGTCACATTTCTATTTCAGGTTTAAGACATCTGTCTCCTGCAACTCCTGCATATAGTACAGAGCAGGTCACATTCCTCCTGAATGTGCTGAGCAATATATTGACCTCAAAATTGCTATTGTTCTCAATTGCAAGGCAAATATCATTCCATCTCTAGTAATTATTTTGGCAATGCAGCTTTGATGTGGAAAGGCAAAAGCGGGACGAGGAGCAGCAAGACTCCCTCTTGGAACAGCAGAGACAACAAACATTAAATTAAGTATGAATGGAGCAGCTGGTGTGAAGGTGGGTTGCAAAACGACTTGCAGATTGCAGAGGTCCATCTAAACAGGTTATCAGGCTTTATGCAGGCAGAAGCAACATAAATAACATGTCCCGTATAAGATTTGCCACAAGCATCGGCTGAGCCTTCAGCAGGTGTTAAGGTCACCTGATCTGCCAGGTTTCTGTTGACTGAACTTGACTCAGTAGAGCCATTGCTACGCTAGCATTAGCCTTACAGAGCATTTTGAATTGATCTGTCTTTTTGCCTATGTTTTCATGCTGTCTTCATCCTCCAAGGAATAAAACATTTACAGTGATGGTGGTCAATGGTGGTTTTAAAACGCATCTTAAAACCCATTTTTACTCCTTGGCATATGACACTGTATGACCCTGATTTTATTGATTTTATTATTTTTAATCTATTGTGCTCATTTTATTGTTTTTAATTCTAATTATCATTTTATACTTTTTTGTGCTATTTGTGCTTATTTTATTATTTTAAGTTTTTATTTATTTATTATAGGTAAATCTTTTTTTAAAAAATTTTTTTAAATTTTTTTTTTTTTAACTTATTCATGTATCATTTTTGGCATGCCAAGTGTTCACCTGTGTTGTTCCGAAAGTGCTATATAAATACATTGCTTGCTTGCTTGCAAGGTAAATAAATTAATAGAAAAAAGGAAAATAGCACAGTTATTGATATGAACCAAATGATTAAAGATAAAGATCTGAATGTTTCAGAGGTTCATCTAAACAGCTTCTTTTGGGAAAACCCTATTTTCTCTCACTAATTTCTCAAAACTCCACATTTAATCACCATTATTATGTGAGTGCTAGACTTCAAAAGTCCTTCTGTGCTCCCTGTCCCTTCACTGAAGTGTGCAGAAGATCAGATCTCCCAACTTTCCTCTTCCTGAAAAGGTTCATGAAAACCAATAGGACTCTTCGTGCCCTGAGCTCTCATGCAGATCTATTATTACACAATACTGCACCTAAAATATGGACTCAATGATATATTAATTTCACTTTTCACCTCTGAAGACTCCTTCAATTATTGATTGGCACAGTAGATGTCAAGAAAAATGGCAGTGAGTTTCTGTGTGTGTGTGTTTGTGTGTACGCGTGTGGATGTGTTATTATGTGTGTGCAGAGCAGAGAGCGAAAAGGAGAATTGTATCAAGTATCCAATACGTTTTCCCTTCACAGGGTCCGTTGACCATGAACAATGGCCAGTGCTGTTTGTTCCTGCTTACCTGAGGCTTAGGTCTCCAGTGAGTCAGAGCAAGACCCAGCCAGTATCTATTCTCCAGGAACAGAGCTCCAGCACAGAGACACATTATCCGCAGCTTTCTTTAATTAAAGACCCCCGGTCGACACTCTGTGCCAGGTGACCTGAACTGCTCCAAGCCTGCATGTTTCTACCACTATCCTCTCCACTAGGGATAAGTCTCAGTGGATAATTAGAGAGGGAAATGCTATACTGCTGTCATGAGATGGAGGAAGGATTATCTACTAGGACTTTCAACTGAAGAGGCGGGGAAAGAGGAATAATGTGATTGTTTCTTCTACAGTCAGCCTACCTATCTCTTTCTCTTACCTTTCACCCTCTCTCTTCCTAAGACCAAATAATAAGCGAGGGAAGGGACACACAAGTGACTTTTCTTAATGTATTCCACCTGTTCCTCATCTCAGCTGTGTTAGCGAGTTAGTCCCAAGCAGGTTTCCATCCAGAGCTGACATGGAGTATCCAGGGAGAAGACTGCTTTCAGCGTTCCTGCTTTTTCTGCCTCTTCTGTATGTCAGATGTCTCTCCAATCAAAAAACTACAGGTATCAATTTAATACTGTTGGATAGTCAGATTAATGCTAAACACATCAGTGATCAAATCCTGCTTGTTTGTATATTTAAAGGGAGGCTTTAGTGGCAGAACTGCATGAGTTGTGGAATATGAGGTCTAACTGTTTAAAGTTTGCACATATGTAATTTGCAACTTGTCCCTACTGTGTTTGAAAAGTCTCCTGGTGTGTGCTGTCTGATGCTGAGGAGCAGAAGTGTCTGGATTTGGCCGGAAACGCTACAGCACGACATGTAAAAGGAACACTGCAGTGTGTCCGTGGCTTAAACACTAGGGACTGTATGGAAAAAATCAAGGTACACAAAGAACAACTGATGGGGAAAGTAGATTCTTACCAAAAAAATTGTCTTACATTTCATTTAATTTAATTTATTTTATTTAATTAATTTTTATATCAGCTCTGTCAGATGCATGGCAGTTGAAATTTCTTAACATTAATAGGAACTGTTATATCTAAAAAGTGACTACAAAAGAAAATAAAAAGTATCTGTGAGACATAAAATGTGAAATATAAAAATATGAATATATATTTTGCTCAGAATGGAACTGCAGATGCAGCCTCCATGTTTGGAGATGACATCTATGCTGCTGGTTTCTGCCATGGCCTGGAGCTTGCTGCAGGAGAGTCCTACAATGGTGTAGGTAAGTCACATGTTTAAGGTCTGCAGCAGGTGACACAGGAAGGCACTGAAGTCTCTGCAGCTTATGCCAAAATGCAGATACTGTGCACACAAAATACTTTCTTGCACCCACTGATTAATCCCAATTTGAAAATTGATTCCTTTTATTTATTTTTCATTTTTGGTGTCTTCTGTAGATGGTATCAGCTACTATGTGGTGGCAATGGCGCGCCGCTCCTCCTCAGACCTGTCCCTGCTCGAGATGCATGAGCGCAGCTCTTGTCACCCCGGCATTCGAACCACAGTGGGGTGGACTGTTCCCATTGGCTATTTGGTCAACACATCCCAAATCAGTGTAGGAGAGCAGTGCAACTTCCCGAGAGGTGAGTCAGAGGGGACAGGGGTGATATAAGTGTAGGTGTGTTTTGGTGGAAGGTGTATGAAATGTTCAATGAAAGGAGGGGAATTCGGGAAAGCAGTGAAGGGGAACAAAGAGGTGAAGAAATGAGGCAGACTGGAGGTGCAAGGAGAGGAGACAGTCACACAACAGTGCTTCTTTCTGTAAATGTGAGGTGGATAAGGGGATAAAAAATCAGAAGGAAAGATAAACAGGAAAAATGCTGTCTCTTAAAGTTTATTATTATGGTGCTCTGGACACATGGTTCCCAACCATCAAGAATTTAGTGTGGTCTTTTTTCTATAAAAATCCAGCATCCAAATCTTGTACAGACTGGTCTTAAAATACATTTTAATACACTGGACCTGAGTTATTTACTTTGACAGGGACCCTTTATGGTCATTTCCAGTACTATATTTTTATTCTTGGACTCTCATAACTCTTGAAATTGAGTAGTTGGGCATGACTCACAGTTCATCCTGTCTGAGATTTCTTCTGTGATCACAGTAGTGTGAGCTTAAGATGACCACAATAAGGTCAATTACATCATACAAACCCAACAATAGCAGAAGGAACGGAGTTTAGAGCGTTCTGTAGCCTTGTACAGTCCATATGCTGACCAGTTTATAAACAGGACAAAAACCTTAAGCATGAAAGTGCAGAAGACTTTTCAAGTATTCTTTGGTGTCTGTGTCTTTTTATTGTTAGTGGTGGGGAACTTCTTCGGCTATAGCTGCGTGCCGGGGATTAAGGATCCCCAGCACGATCCCAGAGGCAACAATCCAAAGAACCTCTGCGAGGCCTGTATAGGAGACGAAAACGACAGACACATCTGTGCCAACAACCACAGAGAGCGGCATTACGGAGAATCGGGAGCTCTGAGGTACACTGACATTAGTAACATGGGAAATAATACAACAACAGCACCCAGAGGTGAAGTAGATGTTATGACTGCTGCCTTTGTGTCTGCCCTCAATTTATATCCATCCCAGCGTGCTGCCTCAATAAAGAAAATAATAGTGGAACTCTAGTGTATGCCTTATCTGAAGGTATGCAGTAGAGATAATAACAATACAGTGACAAATTACTGTATGTATATATATATATATATATAGTGAACAGATGGAACACACAACCGGATTAAAATAAGAGAACAGAAAAGAATAAATCTAACAGTTCCTGTGATTGTGTCGCATAATTTGTTTAAAAAATCGTGTGTGTATTAAAATATAAATATATAATACTGTTTGTGCTGTGCAGTACTGCCGTCTGTGCAGAACAGTCTTTGGCACAGTACTGAATGTACTTCAGAGGGGAACAAAAGAACTACAGGGGGTGATTTCTTAAAGTGCCAGAGTAAGTGGCAGAGGGAGTTTACTTATGGTCTCCAGAGTGTGTTAACAGTAGCACACTGGCAACTGTGCTGATTTTATTCATATTTCAATCTATTTATAGACTGAATGTGCCTTGCTGTTTGTGTGTTTTCGTTCAGGTGCGTGGCTGAGAACCTCGGCGACGTGGCTTTTGTCAAACACACAACAGTCTTTGACAATTTGGATGGTCAGTGTGCAAAATATTGTTTATTTTAGAGACTATGATAGTCGTTGTTGTGTGATATAATTTTCATAATGTCTCAATTTGTGATTACATTGCTTGGAATATGCAGAGGGTGCAACTCCCTGTCAAGACATAGGATGTCAGTGTTTCATAACGCATTTGTGCTTTTTACAGAAAGTGGAATACAGTGATCGGATTGCACTGTAATTATGATGTCATATGATAATATGTGGGAATGTGAGGCGGAGAGAAAAGTAAGCAATCTGAAAACAAGAGAAGATAATAGCGAGAATGAAAAAGAAACAGATATCACACACAAACGCACACACAGGATAGTCACAGAGTTGCAGACATTTTGTCCAGCAGTGAAGTGCCCTAATTCTCTGTTTGCTGCATCTGCTCCTCTGCTTTGGGCAACATCCAAAATTAATGGCGATCATTATCGCCGTCACGCTACACAGGCTCTGCTGGTATAGCCGAGAAGGAGCAGTTTGACGCCAGCTCCACAAAATGCTGTCGCTGCTTAACGAAGCATGTTTTATCATATGGTTCAGAAATGTCCAGAGTCAGAACGATTAACAGAGGTCAGGAAAACACAGAAGGTCTGGGCTGTTGTCTGGGAACGCTGTAGGCTTCAAGGTGGTTTACCCTTTTTTCACACAGTTGTTTGTTTTGTTAAACGGGGTTTTGTTTCCCTTTTTAAAATTCTCAGGGGACCGACCAAATCTGACAAAAACGGCATATAAAATATTGGTAAATTAGTCATAAATCAGGATTGCACTGTTTGATAAATGTGTCATCATAAACAAATTAATGAATGCACAAAAGAAAAGAAAAAACTAAAGTAGTTCTTAGTTAATGTAAATAGCTTATTCAGTGTATGAGGAATAATTACATACTAAACATTACAGCTTTCAAATGGTTTTAGATAAGGAGGTCAATGCATATGATGTTACTTTCCTTAGACTTAACTCAGAGGGAGACCGTGCAATTATATGGACAACTATGTCTTGGTATACTTACTGTAAACCTTTTTTAAATATCATTTTTGTGGCATTTTAGCCTTTATTGGACAGAGACAGTGTAGACAGACAGGAAAGGGCCGCAGGTCAGACTCGAACTGAGGCCGCTACTTTCTTTCACATGGTCGCCTGCTCACCCACTGAGCTAAACCGGCAACCCACAACTTACTGTAATCTTATAATCATGATGAGGACCCAGGATATCTCTACAGCTGGCCAAGAAATACACTAGTTTCTCTAAACCACAGTAAAACCATGTTAAAGAAAGTGCATATTCATTTAGAGGCATTGGCATGTGGAATTTGCTCTGTGATAGTCAGAGATATCTAATCCCTTAATAGTCAGGCTAACTGTTTGTAGTCTTAATGTAGCTGAGCTTTACATTTAACAGACAGATTGGTTTCATTTGTCTTATGTAACAAAAGAAATCAAATGTGCATTTCCCAAAATCCCAATCTCCTGTTTATATATCTCCCCTCTTGCCCAGGTAAGAACCAAGAGTCCTGGGCCCTGGATCTGGAGGTGGAGGACCTGAAGCTGCTGTGTCCTGATGGAACGGATGCCGGTCTGGAGGAGTATGAACGATGCCACATTGCCGCAGTCCCTGCCAACGCTGTGGTGGTGCGTATGGAGGACAAGTGCCGTGTCTGGAAGTACCTGGAACGCTTACAGGTGGGTGTGGACATAAGCTGCATGTGCTTTGCTTTTGTGTGTGTGAGAGTGTCTGTGTGTATGCACGTTTTTCCACAGAGCTGTGTGTGGATCTCTGGAGCCTGTGCTATTTATCTGCACATCTTAGTATGCAGGTATCTGCTAAACTGTCACCCTTCCTCCATACTCAATGTGTGGGAGACTCCAGAATGATTGATACGTCCTGTGCTGATCCACCCAGCCTGCACTTACACACAATCTGAAAGACACTCATGTACACAGAACGCCAACGCACATCCATGCATGCCCTCATGCATTAAGCGCAGTCACACACTTCCTCTCTCCTGCAGAATGTGTTTGGCAATGCCACGGAGGGCTTCAGCCTGTTCAGCTCAGCAGGCTATGGCCAATCCGATCTGCTGTTCAGTGATGCCACCCACCACCTGCAGAGAGTTCTGGGTAGCTACTCCTCTTGGCTGGGCCCCACTTATACCACTGTGCTGCAAGCCTTCGAGTGTGAGGGTAAGAGTGATGACGTGTGCCTATTTGCCTGTGTGTAAAAATGTGTTTATGTGGAATTGCTGATGAAGAGTGGGTGGCTAAGTGGCTGGAGGAGTGTTTTTTGCTGTGTATGTGTGAGCGCATCCACTGCAGCTGTTCTCATTATTGCACTCTCCCACCACCAGGCTTCTGCTGATGGAAGAGGAGGAAGACATCCAGCACATCATCTTCCACCCCATCCCGCTTTCTCCATCCTCCCTCCCTGCCATCTGTGTCCCCCGTCTCACCATATTTTCTTCTTTTAGCTTTGCTTTATTAATGTTTTTTCCCCCTTGCATTTCACCACCCAATCTTTAATATTATATCGTTGCCCTCCTCCAAACTTTTATGTCTTTTAATATGCTTGCTGGCAGGTTATGACAAGGTTAAAGAGTGGCTAGTTGGCTGTTAAAACATAACTAAAATTGAACATGTTTTTTAAAGGACGCTGGGGGAGGGGGGGAGTGTAGAAAAGAAAGGGATAGGACAAAAAAAGTTAATGATTGTTGTGGTTTTTCTTTTGTGTTTGATTAACACATACCAAAAAAATTCTCTTAACATTTGCTGCCCTGTATATTTGTTAGGAAACTGCAGCCTTCTTGGCTTGTTTCATTAGACTAAGCTTCGGTACCACCCTTCCACCTCACTCCCACAGGGTCTGTCTCTGGCACTGAACAACTGGGTGCTATTAACTTTTTGCTTAGAAGTCTCAGTTACTTTATGTGTGTGTGTGTGTGTGTGTGTGTGTGTGTG